AGACAGTAAACAATTTCCACACCGAGGAACATCGGGGAAGGATTTTTCCGAAAACGCAAGAGCTAATTCAAGAAAAAAAAAAAAATGCTGTGTGTGTTTCAGGTTCGGAAGAGAACTTTCGTAAGTACCGAATGTTGACAAAGTTTGTTGTAATTTATACAGAACATGAATAATCGTGAAGAAGAAGAAACAAATGCCGTAGGGTTAGGGGATTATGTAATATGGACGCCTAATAAAAAATGGATGCCATTCAAAACGAACTGAAAACGACGAGCGAGTTTAAAAAAAAAAAAAAAAAAAAAAAAAAAACACACACACACACACACACACACACACACACACACACCACACACACACACACACACACACACACACACCTGAAAAAGACAGAGAAACAATTAAGAAGGAAATGCGAACAGATAGAGAGGTCATTAGGAAGGAAATGCAAACTGTTAGTGGAGGACTAGAAACAATGCAGAAAAGATTACAAACCATAATACTGAGGTTAGAAAAAAACATGCAAACAGTAGTAAGGGAATAGAAAAAAAAAAATGTAAATGTGTATTAATAGTTTGGAAAAAGTTTTGGGTAGGAGTGAACAAAATCATAGGAAATGGTAAGAAAATGTAGAATATTGAACAACAAAATGAGGTTATAGTAAATGGACAGGATATGGAAGGGGAATGTAAAGGTGATATAATGAGCAAACATGCTCGTGTGTCATTAGATGATAAGGTTATGTTGTGTGCAAATGAGAATCAGGGTTTCGAAAAGGCGATAGGAAAAATTTTGGTAAATAATAGGCAGTCCATACAATACATGCATCATGGTAAAGTAATGCTGAAATTATTAGGGGGGGGGGGCGTCAGATAAGGAACAGGAATAAACATATAAAAATTAGTGAAAATTGTAAGAAAAGGGGATTGAAAATGTTTAATGTACACGCAATGTAAGAAAGGCGATCAGGAAAAGGAGAAAAAAAAAAGATAAAGGTGAGGTTTAAGTCAATAGAGGTAAGAAACTTATTGAAGTACGATAAGAGAAATTTAAGGAGGAAAAAGGGAAAAAAAGACGTTTAAATTTCAGACGGTATTGAAAAAGATAAAGTGGAAATACAGTATGATGAAAACGGGAAGGAAAATTGGGAGGAAAAGAAGAAAAATTGAAAATGAGAGAAAGAGAAATAAAAAAATTAATAGATAAAGACAGAACAGATAAATTAGTAGTAAAACATAATTATGTAAAAAATTTTAGGTAACAAAATTTTGTTCATTCAGAAAACTTTCTAAATTAAATTTGTAATAGAGATAAATTTATTTGAAGGAAAAAATGTATTAATTAGTAAATAAGAAATGTAATTTGAGGTAATACTTGTTATTACAATGGCAAAGAAGAATGAGCTCTTAAAGAAAACGTTAAAATATTATAAAGGTAAGTAAATGTATCCATAGAGGAGTGGCCTATCAGATACATGACATATTAATACATTAGAAAATTTAAAATCAGTTTGGCATAGAGATAATAGCAGTAATAAAAACGGTATGCAAATAATAAATAGAACAGAATGTTGGTAGAGTGCTGCTTATAGATGTTGGCATTCTTATAAATTCTGTATATTTATGTGGGTAGGTGAGTTCATCATTATCATCATCAGCCAGTTCAATCATGAAATGATGTGGCCTCTTAGAGTTAGGGATTCAGGTAGAGTATCAATAGTCTTTTCCAGGTAGAACGGTCTTGGGCGATTCTCTGCCAGTAACTCCAGCAACCCTGCGTATGTCTTTGTCTCAACAATCTGGGGATCTTCCTCTTGGTCCCCGATGATTTCTTGGACTCCATTCCAACACCGTTTTTGTCCATCTTTCATCCGAGCAACATGGCCAGCCCATTACCACTTCAAGGTGATTGTCTTCTCCTAGTTGTCTTTGACTGTAGTAACTGATATGATGTTTGTTGCTTTTTTCTTGTCTTTTCTAGTAAAACCCAGTATTGACCTTTACATAGCTCTTTGAGCTGTTCTAAGTTTTCCTTTTTTAAATTCATTGAGTGTCCGGGTCTCACAGCCGTAAGTCAGCACTGGAAGAATACACTGGTCGTAAATCGTTTTCTTTAGATTTATGGGCATATTTGATTTGAGAACAGTATAATGTTTTCCAAATGTTTGCCATCCCAGCTTGATGCGACAGAAAATTTCTGGTCTTACATCTCCTTCCATATTTACAAGCTGGCCTAGATCAATGTACTCACTGATGTTTTCTAGATATACATTATTAATTTTATATTCCCCGCTGTGACCCATTCATTGGACATAACTTTTGTTTTTGAAAGTTTTATGCTCAGGCCAATTGCTTTACACAAAGAAGCAAGATCAGAAACCAAGGTTTAGAGTTCCTCAATGTCGTTGGCCAAGAGTGCAATGCCATCTGTGACTCTCAAGTTATTCAATCTTCTGCCCCTGTGATTATAATTCCTTTTACTGCCCATTCTAATTTTGACCTCGCCATTTCCAACACAGCTAAAAATAAATTCGGAGAGATGGGATCACCTTGTTTAACACCTCTTTCAACGCGGAAGTATGTAGTTGGCTCACTGACACTGACAAAGGCTGAGGAGGTGTCATACATGTAATGGAGCACTCTGATATGGCCATGTCCACACCCTGCTCAGTTAAGGCTTGCAGGACCGCCTTGTGAGTTATGGAATTGAGTGCCTTTTCGAAATACACAAAAACTACACAAAGAGGCAGCTGGTGTTCGTTTGTTCGGCTAATTAGTTCTCGTAGAACAAGCATATGGTCGATTGTGCTAAAGCTGCTGCGAAATCCTGCTTACTCAATGGATAGGGCTGAATCAAGGATGGAACTAATTTGGTTTAACAATATATTTGTAAACACTTTGTACACCGCAAACAACAAGCATAAAGGGCGATAGTTTTTAATGTTAGGAATACTTATATTTTTGTGTAGAAGAATGATCTTAGCTTTATTCCATGCTGATGGGACTGATGCATTGTGTATGCAAGAAGAGAAGACTTTTGTCCAGTGATTGATAGTTTCCTCACCAACTAGCTTCGGAATATCAACTGGAATACCGTTGTTGCCAGCAGCTGTTCTTTTTTTCATGTTATCTATAGCATACTTTACTTCAGTGGGAAGTATATCTGGCATTTTGGATACATTAGAGAGGTCGGAGTGTATTGGATTTCTTCTATACTGACCTACGTTACTATAAAAATTTCTGATAATTTCTAAAACTTCCCCTTTGTTAGTAATGTTGCCAATATTTCCGTCAATTGCTATTATCTGCTTCTTAGTAACTACGAGCTTTCGCTTTGCTCTCGTTAAACTCGTTTTCTTCTCTAAACTGTTTCTTATGACATCCTCATTGTACACAAGACCAAAATAAAACACATGTTTTCCCTTGTTATTGTTGGTATATTTATTTTTAATTTTTTTTACATATGTCTCTTATTATTATTACTGAATTTTAATTTGTTGTGTAGTACTTTTTTATTTTGAAATTATTTTATCTTTGGCAGTTTTTATCCAGGTATCAACTTCAGAAAATTGGAAATTCCAAAAAATATCTGAATTTAATATTTTTTTCTATACACATTTGATACAAATAAGACTGTTATCAATTTGCGTTGTGCTTTACGAATGGTTTCAATACCAATTAGAAATTAATTATAAACAACTAAGTTTAAGAGATTTTTTTATTGTGGGAAGTGCCGTTCCAGCGTAGCTGTCTGTAATCCAACAGATTCACGCATTGTTTATATAAAGTCACTTAAAAATATTCTTCAAAGGAATAGAAGCACATGGAATGTGTGGGCAGTTGATAAGATGATGGAGAGGAATCCTATATGCGTGACACAAATAGTTCAAGTGACATTTTGTTAGTCGCTATGGTATTGTCAACACTGAGAGTCTCTAACCCGTATTTCGTACTGTGTCGAACTCGAACCAAGAATTGTGCCAACATATTACGTATTTTAATTCACTTCTATTATATGCATTTAAAACTGTGTGAATCTATTAAAATATATGACAAAATTGTAAACAGCACCCATAAATATGGAGATATCTATAGGTATACTAAATCGAGGCTGCCTGAAAGAGATTATAATACTGCCAGAACTATAAAGAACAAACTTAACCCAGAATAGTTCTGTTTCATTTAAATGACGGCAACGAATTCCAGGATAGTTGCCAATGGGCTGGAATTGTAAAGCAAGAACAAAAAATATTTTTTAATGTTTTTTTTAAATGTATGAATATAATTATTTTTATTTCCTGACTGTAGATATTTAACACTACAAGAACGTTGCGTTCTTGTAGATATTTAACACTACAAGAACGTTGCGTTCAGAACTATCAAAGAGAAAGCCATCGAAGAATCATAGTCACAAACCGTGAAGATCAAGGCCAACCTATAGGGTCACACTCATAGTAACTGGAAGACAAAAGGCCTGCTCTTTTCCAAGCATACGGCAAGCAATTTTATAATTTTATCTACTTCCTGGCTTAGTCTCAAAACTATAATAAAAGTACATTTTAATAAGCAGATTTGTTTCACATTTCCCAGTTTATTTTCTAAGTAAGGCGTGCAATGATTAATTTCATCACCTTATTTATGTTTTTATTAGAGAACTGTGTGATTAAAGGAATAATTTCGTATATAATGTGCTGATGGAGTTATTCGTATTAGCGATTCAGTTACACAAATCTGCTCTTTTCAATAGTATTTATTGCAGATAATTCAGGAAAAAGTTCGTGGATTGGTTTTTAGAAAATATAACTGTAGTTTTTCCTATTTTTTGCCTTTATTTCTATTTTTAAATTCAGGAAAAGTGCAAAGTTCATTTAAGTTGCGTGATTTATTTTGCAATATCGCTGAGTATTGTCAATCAAAATGAAGTTATATACATAAAATTAAATAAATGTTTTATACGCACTTTGAAAAAGTAGAATAAAGTTAATTATATTTAATGCTACACCATACTCCTGGCGGGACTCGAACTCACAATCCCTGGTTTAGAAAAACCGATGCCTGATCCATTAGGCCGCAGAAGCTTGCATGCTATGGTTTCTTTGGTGCCGAGTTACTGTAAATACTGGAGTAAATGGTGCATAGTAATATATGTGGTAGTATTGAAAAGAGATTGGAAGGTAAGGAAATTGTATGAGACAAATAAGCAAAAATATACTAAAGTAATGAAACGATACGAAACTGTCATTCACATAGATAGTATAAATCTCACTCAAATACATAGGCAAACAGTTACAGTTTTCTTATGTAATCAGCGTAAATAATCATGTAAATATTATTGCAATCGTTCTACTGAAGGTGAGCTAGTAACTAGCACATCCGTGGCCATAAATACTCCCGACACAAGGTGCGTTTACTAGCGCTGGAGAATTAGTAAGAGCGGCGAGATAATCCTTAAAGGCGATATTACACGACACTAGATTCGCTAAAAGCTTGTGCAAGGTCCACCATAGCGGCCGGTATACGGGTTAGTATGGCAACCGGCATGGCATTTCCCGCCTTGTACGGCCGGATTTCGTACCAGGTTTTGTAATTGGACACGTCCTAATTTTCGTGGCAGGTTCCACACCAGCTCTCGTACCTTGCCAATCACGCCGCAGTTACTGAGCATAGCGGACTCCCCGTGGCTACTACTTGAAACAAGTTGATGAAGAAACGGAATAGGACGCCTCCATATCGATTATACATCCGTGAGGTAGAAACCCTTTCTAATATATTTAAAATACGAAGACGAATAATATTGGCTATTACAAATTTTAATTAATGTTTAAAACCGTTCTAAATATTAAAAACATTACTAACTATATTAATACATTAATTTTAACTATTTGGCGTATATAGAGTGTAAACTTACAGTTTGGTGTGTGAAATGGTAATAAGGAGTCGTGGCCGAACAGCGGCGGAGTAAGCATCGCGTACGGTGTGCGGAGTTCTGACGCCCCTCGCTCTTAAACGGGGCTCTGCTCCGACGCGCGTAGTAATACTGCTATATTAGTGTCAGTCACGTCTAGGTTTGTCCAACATGTCTAATGTGCGCGTGAATACCTTGCGTAACGTGTTTGCCAAACGACCTTCGGCCATGGAAATACATGAATGGATTGATACGGTTTTAACTGTAACAGAAGATTAAATTGAAGCTATTCAACTGGATGGGCACCAGAACTGTTTGTCCTTAAACTTGTTTCCTCTGGGCCTTGTGAAGCGATACTGCGTCGCACCAATAGCCAGTCAAATTTAGTCACTGCAGACCAGGAAAGGATCAACGTCACCATCGAACAAGCTTTCGATAACTTAAAACTGGTAAGAATTCTAAATTTACCTATAGAAATAGACAACCAAAAAATTCAGACGGAGTTAGTGAAGTATGGTCGAATTGTTACATTTCAAGATGAAGTATGGAATCATAAATACAAATTCCAAGTAAAAACGGGAGTACGCATGGCAAAGATGGAAATAAAAAAACACATTCCATCTTACGTTTCAGTTGACGGCTTTCGGGCTGGAATAATATATCCCGGACAACCACGAACGTGCAGTTACTACCAGTCTCCTACTCATGAACGAATTGCGTGTCCTAGTTTGCAAGAAAAGGACGCACATGCAATACGCCGCTGGGGGATAAATAGGGCAACGGAAAATCCCGCAGCTGACACGCCTTTACTGTCCACCCCTGCCCAGCACTCTCCCCGAGCGGATTACACTCCACTTCGCAGACTCAAGCAGCAAGGTCTAGTACAAACACCTGACGGTGACTCATCTGCTGAGCATGCGGTCAACCTCAACACCTTTGTGACCGCGCCACGCCAGATACATGTGGAGGTGGCTCGAAATACTGTTACTGCTAGCGCAGGGCTACCACCACACACAGGATGTCTCGCCGCTACACATTTCATTGTCCTCTGCTTCATGGGTGGACAGCATGGATGTGGAGAGCGTAAACAATGCAACCACACGACGGGAGCATGTAACAACTGCGGATGAAAATATGTCCGTAAGAGAAAAGCGACCTTACGAACGCGACGCCCGGGCCACAAAAGTGAGTCCTGTTCGCAAAACGAAGGTGTTATCGCAGAGTGAACAATCACAGCTACAAGAGAGGAAGGAATCTTTGGAACTAGCAAAGGCCTTTATATATAAAATGGGTGCCTCTAGCCAAGAACGTCCTGATAACTCAACTAACTAACAATACGACCGGCACATGTGTGCATCCCCACCTGTATGCCCTATTACCGGCCCCCATTTTTCTTTGACCACTTCTCCTTTTTGTACACCTTTCCAATTCCTTCTCTGATACTATCACTACATTTTTTAGGCACACACGATAGAGTTATTAACAATGTTAACTTTAAATATTTGTGCAGTCTCGGACAGTGCGCGATTGGCGGCGCTAGAGACATTGATTCGAACACAGGCAGTTGACATTGCATTCTTGCAAGAAGTAGTGATTCAAGATTTTATAGGGTTTCATACATTCAATGTGTATACAAACGTTTGTGATCGGGGACGGAGGACAGCGATTATTACACGTGCGGGGCTAGAACTTGAAGACATGCGCTACCACCCGTCAAGCCGAGTGATATCAGGACGAATAAACGATGTGTCGCTAGTCAATGTTTATGCTCCCTCCGGCTTCCAAACGAGATATGAAAGAAATCAGTTTTTCTCCGTAGATTTGATTCCATTTTTTCATCCACCCTGTAATTAGTTCATACTCAGTGGATATTTGAACTGCATAGTTCACCCCCATAATCATCAGGGTGGCATCTATCCTACTAATGCTGCCCTATCTACTTTAATATCTCACTTAGACTTGAGTGATGTTGCAATCTAACATCCAAGGAATTCATTACACCTATGTGACTTCACAGAGTCGGTCTAGGATTGACCGATTCTACGTGAAAAAACATCATACACATAAGGCGCATCGATATGACGTTCTTCCGGTAGCGTTCAGCGATCACTCTGAAGTGATATTTACGTATGAAAAGTTTGTAAATGTAACACGGTTTGGCAGAGGAATATGGCGTCTAAATACGCCTTTATTAGACAGCGCAGAAGTAAAAAAAGACTTCCTAGCTAATTGTGTACGTTGGCATAGCAAACAATACCAGTTCCCTTCTGTGGCGATGCGGTGGGATGTGAGTGGAAAACCGAACGTCATGAGGCTTTTTAAAAGGCATGCGTACCGACTGGCAGAAGAACGTACGGGAACACGTGCATTCTACGAACTTATGCTACACGAACTTCACCTGCAGGCAAACAATGGTGCACACGTAACTCCACGTATTAGAGGCACGAAACAGAAGCTTTGCTTTTATTGAGTGAACAGTTTAAAACTCGTCATATTATGATAAATTATTAAAGTCTATTCGCAGAAGAGAAATTTAGCTTGTTTAGTATCATTAAGTAACAACGGCAAATACGACGCAAGGTTATCAAACAGCTTGCTGACAGTGATAGAACTATTGTTCGGGACCGGACGGAAATGGTGCAAACGCTTTGCAGTTACTTGGCAAATTTGTACTTGCAACAAGACACGGACGATGCTCTGCTTCCATCGGTTTTGTAGGATTGTGAAAACAAAGTTAGCTGTGACAGCAAGACGGGCATGGAGGCGCCATGTTTAGATGCGTAAATTAATACAATAATACAGCAATTGCAATCACAAAAATCTGCTGGTATTGACGGTATTCCATACGAATTTTACAAAACTTATTGGGATATTATTGGTACCGACTTCTGCGAAGTTATTCGCGATGTGCTTGAAAGAGGGGATTTATGCAAGTCTCATAAAGAAGGAATAATTGTTCTTATACCCAAAGTATCCCGTCCACTTAAACCTGCAGATTAAAGGCTATTACACTTTTATGTGCCGATTATAAAATAATTGTTCGGTTTTGTGCGACCAGATTAACCAAGTGATTGTCAGATATTATTGGTCCCGGCCAGACATGTACTGTTCCAGGACGTTCCATCTTACAAGGCGTGCTTGCCCTAAGGGACATTCAATTACTTTCGTCAATACAACACAGTAAAATGGCCATCTTGAGTATTGATATGGAAAAGGCATTCTATAGAGTCGATCATAAATTTTTACTTCATGTTTTGCATCATTTCGATTTTCCTGCCAATGCAGTACAGTGGGTGCGGATGGTGTGTATCGGAGTTTGGTCACGCCTGTTGGTTAACGGATTCCTTACCCCACCAATTAAGATCGAGAGTTCAGTTCGACAAGGATGCCCGCTATCCATGATTTTATTTAATATCGCCATTGATCCTCTGTGCAGAATGCTCAGTGCCCGCTTACAATTATTCCCTGTAGCGAACCTGTCCTTTAAATTAAATACCTATGCTCATGACATCACATTTGTCGTTCGTTCAGAGCGGGAAATTACAGAGAGGGCAGAATGCCTGGACCTTTTTCGCAGCGTCTCTAATATGCGAGCGAATGCTAACAAAACTACCATACTGGAGCTCAGTGCGACCAGCGAGCCATTTCAGACATTTTTCCCTTTCGGAGGGCCGAAACTGTGAAAATATTGGTCATATACTTCCACGCAGACGCCACTCATATTTTGTATTTTAATTGGAACATGACAATAAATAAACTCCGTGCTCGTCAAATAGAAATGAATTATCGTCGTACAAATATTATACAGATGGTTATTTTAGTAAATGTATTCTTACCTGGGAAGCTGTGGTATGTTTCACATATATTCCCACTACTACGTTAACAAAGTGCACAAATACTACAGATTGTTGGCCACATGTTATGGAAATCTTATATGTTTAAATTATGTAGGCCGCAACTTTATCTTTCTTTGCAAGACGGAGGCCTGAGTCTAATTAATCACGTTTTGAAGTGTGAGGCCTTATATCAGTCTTCAGTAATTGCAACATTTTTGCGCCCAGAGACATTTAGGCAGCATTACAGAAAATGATATTGTCTGAAGTTAGACGCATGCCACTTCAATACCGTCAGGCAAAGGAAGCACTCGCAACTCTAGTAGAACACTTACCGGAA